AGTAACTTCCACGCCATCGATAATTTATTTCGGGACGGGCTGTGACAATAATCCTTCTTGATTGTCATCTTGAATCATATCTGATCAATTATACTTTACATTAAATGGCATGAGTACTGGAATCTTATCTTTGGAAGTCTTCCACTCTCATTGCTTTCTACTTTTATCTATGCCATTGTTGGAGCTTAGAGGGGGAGAAAGACTATGTGAGGTATTGTAGCCGGGTTCTAAGGTAGGGTTTTTCTATATGAGAGCTTCGGTTCCGCTTTCGCAGCGTCGAGAAAATTGGGCTTAGGGCACATGGTAAATGGCATGATATAGTAAAACTGCAAAACTGTCATTTAATGTAGTGAAATTGGAAGACTTCCAAAGTTACGATTCCAGTACTCATGCCATCTAATGTAAAGTATAATTGATCACATATGATTCAAGATGATAATCAAGAAGGATTATATTGTTGTTATCATTGGCTAAAATAGAGCATGTGATAAGAATCGAACGAAGTTAAGCTTTTATCCTTACTCCCTCTTCACATTGCATTGTATGAGTCACGACAATGAAAACATTGAAATTAACTATGAAAAATAAAAAAATAAAAACTCCACTTACTTTGACAACAGTTGAAGTTGAGAAATATCTCTTCATGAAGATTGTAAATTGACTCCCAATGTTGCCCATATTTTGCCGTAAGCGTTTCTCTTAATTCCAAAAGTGGACTTTCAAGGGCTGTGGCACCATGCATCTCAAAGACCTATTGGATTGTTGAAAATACTTTCTTTCTTGCTGCCATTTGTTCTTTCAGGAAGTTACAAGTACACTAGGATTTCTAGTCATATATACTAGGTCAGAATGATAGTAAGTCCACTTAGCACTGTCACGCCTCGAATCCGGGGTCAGTAATAAAAACTCGAACCTGAATCTGAAACGTGAGTTAAAAGCTCAATAAATTAAAGGAAATTAAAACGGGTTGGAAAATAAATTTTTTCTTATAAAATAACTCATGATTCTTAAACAAATCAAGAACTCTTTAAAATTCTACAGTAAAAAGATGAATAAACATTTTATTCTCACAACTAATTCGATCTCATCTTGCCTACCTTTTTGAATGTCTAGTTCGTAAACCTACATAACAATAGAGGGATGAGCTTCAATAGCTCAGTAGAGACATAACATTATCACAGTAAATAGACAATATTAAATTAGGTGTCATGAAATCATATGGCCAAATATCAAATTATTATTGATAACAATGCATGAATGCAATGCAATGCAACCTCTTCAACTATTCCGATTAACTAATATAATAAAACACGCGGACCTGCACGTCCCATACCGTGCATTTTACCACTACAATGGTGGTTTGAATATTCTATTATACAAATTAACCCCCATAAGATATCCCGAGTTCATAAACCTCTTTTGTTAGTCATCTTATCTAATTCATTGATCTCCAGCCCACATCAACAATTTATCTCGCCGATATCCTATTCTAATGTGCATACCGGGCTCGCCTGGGACCAAGGAAGAAAAAATCGATAATATCGGCGAAATATCGCCGATATTATCGTTTTTTTGGAGATCCGAAATTTTTTTTACTATCCAAATGATTTTCGTCAAAATATCGCAATATTATCGATAATATCACGATATTTTTAAAATTATCGATAATATCGCAATATAATATTCAAAAATATTTAAAAATGTTGAAAATCTCAACATATACTACACTTGATCAAAGCCCCCAAAGGCTAACCAAGACATGCTTTCTCACCATGTGAATGTGCCTTTTATAGGCGTTCTTGGCTTGCTCACTGCCCTTGCTGGGCGATGTGGGACTCGACCAAGGAAGAAAATAGGAATTTCGGCCGAAAATCCACACCCACTTTAAACGGCCATAACTTTGTCAAAACTCAACACAATCAAGCAAGACAAAAACAAAAGTTGTAGCACTCGAAGAGACGAAGAGAATGGAACCTCACACGACATCTGAATCATCGTGGTTTGGCCGGAAAATGCCTCGAAAGTCACTGAGGTCGCCGGAAACTGGGTAAGATTCAAATGAGTATAACGTTTTCAATACTCAACGAAATTGAGTGAAACAAAAATGAAAGTTGTACTACTCGACGAGACGAAGAGATTGATACCTTGCACGCCGGCCAAATCGCCGTGGTTTGGCCGGAAATTTCCTCAAAAGCCACTGAGATCGCCGGAAACTGGGTAAGATTCAAATGAGTATAACTTTTTCAATACGCAATGAAATTGAGTGAAACAAAAAGGAAAGTTGTAGCCCTCGAAGAGACGAAGAGAATGGTACCTCACAAGACATCTGAATCGTTGTGTTTTGGCCGGAAATTTCCTCGAAAGCCACTGAGGTCGCCGGAAACTGGGTAAGATTCAAATGAGTATAACTTTTTCAATACTCAACGAAATTGAGTGAAACAAAAAGAACAGTTGTACTACTCGACGAGACGAAGAGATTGATACCTTGCACGCCGGCCAACTCGCCGTGGTTTGGCCGGAAAACCAAAACGTATTGCCTCAAGGGCTGGTACATGTGAACTTATGACTCCAACTAGGTAAGAGCCAGATCTAATTTGGGGCCTTCTATCCTATATTTGTGGACAACCATCAAATGCTAAAGATTAAACAAACATAATATGTTCTACTGCTTAGCAAAAAAAGCTACAAACCCTTTGCTTATCAACAAAAAAAAGACAAGTCCTTGCACTAGATATACTTTCAAATTACGTTGAGTAGCAACCTGATATATGTATTCGGACGAATTATAAAACAATTGACACACTCCTGACTTCCAAAATTCAATTCTTTTACTTTATATAAACTTGAAAAAACATAATCGGCATCCAAATTAAAGTTTAGTCTTATTCAATGTATTGATTTTTCAATCGTTAATTGATATACTATAATTTGGAACTTCAACGCCTAGACGCATGCTTATGTGTAAGAAATTTAAAGTGTCAAATTCGGCACATTATTCTTCATCATTTTATTCACTTCCCTTTTTTTTTTTTAATATCCTAAATAAAACCTCCAAATATTGTACTAATTCATTATATATAAATGATTATGGTGTGTTTAGACTTCTTTCATTAATTACTACATATTTTCTACACTCACAATGTTTGTCAGCTCACTATATAATCAACTTGATAATGTTAAATCCATCATGCAATGCATTTCTTTCCAATTTTTTGTGATAAACTAATAGATAATTGACTAAATAAACATCCTACAAAGTTTCAATAAAAATTTCCAAGTTTTTCTTACAATTTCCGTGGTTTCCATGTAATTTTTATCGATATCGATATTTTACCGATATTTCCATCGATATTTCCGTGTTTTCGGACTACCGATATTTCCGATATTACCGATATTTTCTTCCTTGCCTGGGACCTAGTTCACAATGAATAGATTCAACTACACAAAAGATCCTTTCCAATTACCCTCATTTCCAAACCAATGTCAACACTAAAGTTCCAACCACATCAACATGAATGATGCACAAATAATGTCATTCCATCTTTCACATATATCACAGTATATTCTCAACGAATAACATTTCAGCAATAATTCCATAACCAATAACAAGTGAACACTCAACTGAAGCAATTAGCCAATTAATATCCAACCACATTAATCAATAAAAAAATCAAGAATATTATAACATTTCACGAAATAACTAAACTCTGACGTATTTTCCCTACTTGAATTCCAAAGCTAAACTAAAAATCTACATCACTACCGAAATAACTAAACTCTACGTACTTAAACAAGCTTCTTGATCATGTCTAAATACCATGTATTTCTTCCACTCTTATCTTTTCTAATCTCTCTCATTATATATAAATATATAAAAATATAGACATAAATATTTATATATACACACACACACATTTTTTTGCATGGTTTCCTGAATTGCACAACTTATCCTTTTCCTATTGATCCTAGGAATCTCGTGATCGTGATCGTTCATCATACATCGTGCGGTCAATTTTTGTTAGGTACTATTTATATTAAATTTTAAATTTTAAATTTTAAAATAATTTATAACTACACGATATACAATAAACAGTCACGATCACGCGATCCTCATAAAAAAGATCCGACAAAGATCATTTTCCGGATTAACTTGACAACTATTCAGAATGGGATAAAGAAAATGGATGGAACACTCAAGAAATTGACGCATGGCTATGTAGTATTAGGATTCGACACTTGGTATACATGTGTCATCATAATACGAATGCTGGAGGCTTATCACAATGTTTGCAGGAGGTGTACTAACCTAATGCAAATGCATGAAACTGTAGATATCTATACCACTAGGGTTTAATTTATATAAAGACATATAAAGAGGCACAAGTCAAATTGACCATTCAAACTTGTTAATATCCATACGTGTAAAAAGAGGCACATATCAAATTGGCCATTCAAACTTTCAGTACGTATACGTGTAAACAAAGGTCGCCTCCTACTTATATTTGTTTAGCAATTTGGCTACCTTATCTACTCACTTTCCACCTAGTATACTACTAACATGACGAATGTCTTTGGACTGGCATGTTGGCTAATCCCACGTGGAAAACTTAGCAACTCAGGTGCTGCTATGTGTCATCAATTCATGGGTCCAGCTGTAAATTCATAACAATTCCTACTATCTTCATAAAAAGACCTTTTCGATAAATAGTTTCCAAATAATAAATTCTTGCAGCCTCACAAGCACAAAGTACAAACCCAAAAAGTAAAAAAAAAAATACCATAAAATCAGTTGAAACAAAAGATAATAATTTGCAAGGGCAATTGAGATAGCAACTTGAGTATGGTTTCTTGAAAATATACATTGGCACAATTATAATAAGTTTTCAATTCTTTTCAAATTATATAATAAATTTAATTATTTTTATAAGATATATAATAAATTTACTTTAATCTACATAGACCTGTGCCTAGGTGTTAGACCTTAGTCCGGTGTTCGACTAGTATCTAGCGTCTTTTAGAACCTTGTCATGATCCATTATAAAATTTTGCAGTGCAACATAGCTGACAAAGTATTTGGTGTACAATAAGAGAGGCTAGATTGCAAGGTATTTTGCACTTGTAAACTCTTATTTGTTGTATCATTGGCAAGGACCATATATAATGATGTTGTACAATGCTAAGGTGTTGTTTATGTACATCGAGTAACTTTTATGTAGAATCATAATATACTCGCTGCTCCAGATACCGTAATTAACCTTTTGTTAAGGTGAAGATACAACCACCATCACCATCAGAGAAGAATGCGAACTAAATTAAGCATTCACCATCGGCAAATCCCAGGTGACTCCATACGGCTTAGAGCGACTACTTCCTCATACTTGGTAGCATATACAAAGCCCCATAACTGCATTCATTACACAAAAGCATATGCATTTGTAACATTTTCATCTGTTGAATCGTTCAGTGAAAATTTGTACACACCTCAACTTGTTTAACCTCAAAGTCTTCCGAGTGTGCAAGACAAGGTTTCTGAGCATGAACTCGACCCAGTCAATCTGAAACCAAAAAAGCAACAATTAAACAAAATTGCAAATGCATATAATTCACTTTTTGAAGAAGGCTTGCTCAATGCAATGTTCTATTAAGGTAAACAAAAATATTATTAGAAGAATCGAAGGCAAAATTCTCACAGCTCACTGTCCAAATATAGCGCAAACTCAGGCCAGGCCAAAGCATACTTCTTCTGTATAGGGTTGTCAGTGATAAGCTATGCCGCCATGTGCTGCAGGACCCGAGGAATACATTTGTGTGATGTTGCATTAGGCATGAGGTTGAGGAAGGCAGACAAAGTGGGCAGCTTTGCTCCGAAATGACTGAGGCCTACCTACCCATCTCTTCCTTTGTTTTTTTGAACGACACCCATCTCTTCCTTTGACCTCTATAATCTATACAACCAATCAACCATCGTCACTATCAATCATCCCACGGACTCCATTGATTTTCCCAATTTCTTGTTTTTCTTTTTCGGCCAGTTGGTCAAAGTGTCGATCAAAAAAGAAGGAAAGCTTTGAGCTTTATCAAACAGAGAAATGGGGTTTTTTAAAGGAGTGGGGATTCTCGTCGGATCCTTTTTGTGAGGATTCCGGAGATTCTCAAATCACATCTGTATATCGTGCAGTTAGAAATTATTATAAATTTTTTTATTTAAAATTTAATATAAACAATACCTAACGAAAACTGGTCAAAGATGATCCGGCGAGGATCCTCTCACTTTTTAGAGATGGGAAGAAGAAAGAGCGACGTCCAAGCAATAAAAAAAATGTGGAAGGTCATGGGTTTAATGCTCCGAGCTAATAAGTTTGTTTGATTGTTGCTATTGTGGCTATGGAAGAGATAGATAACAATGACTTTCCATCAATTGTTCCCTTTTTTAAAAAAAAAATTTATATAATAGTTTGGAATAACAAGAAGGAATTCATGTCCCAATGGATAAAGGCGAATTTCAATGAAAGTCACGCGTCTGGGTTCGGTCCCTGAAGGAGTCGATTCTCTTCGTTTTATTTTCATGTTTTTGGAAGAGGATCCTCTTCGGATTCACTTTGTGGGGATCCTAGGGATCCTCACATCCTAGCCGTTCGTAGTATATCGTACGGTCAGTTTTCATCAGGTACTATTTGTGTTTAACTTTAAATAATAAAAAAAATCAAATGATTTTTTACCATACGATGCACAATGAATTACTAAGATGTGAGGATCCCTATGATCCCCACAATTTGGATCTGGATGGGATCCAAATCCCATGTTTTTATGCTTCCTTACATACGCAGCATTTCGTTGATCTGAAAATCATCAGATTCTATGGGCACACCGCGCACGTGGCAGACAACTATTTGTAATTTCTACTCATCAAGTCGGCACAAAGCAAAAGAATAGAAAAAAAAAAAAAAAACATGTCAAAATCAAAACGCACAGACAATATAGTCAGATGAACAAATAGGCGAATATATGATGTTACACAGATCATATTTTTTATTTTTTAAATTATTAAAAAGAAGGAATTTGGATTCTATCCGGATCCTCACATTCTATCTGGTCATCATATATCATGTGACCATAAATTATTTAAAATTATTATTTAAAATTAAACATAAATAGTACCTAACGAAAGTTGATCTCACGATGTACAATGAGTGAATAAGATGTGAGGATCTCTAAAGAATCCTGAGAAGATCCTCATCCAAAACAAAGTTCAATTATTAACCCATACATCATGATATTTACAAATATAATTTAAAAAGATGAATATTCTAGCATTTTTTTTATACTTTTTTATACTTTATAAATGTGCGTTTTTTGATGTGAAAAAAGAAAAAGACGAGAGAAAAACATGTAAACTGTTGTGGCCTTTTTTATCTGACAAGGGAAGGAAGGCCAGCAGCACAGAGAGAAAATATAGAGAGATATGTGTTTGTAGGGTTGTAGAGGAATGTGTTATTCCTCATACGCAGTGTCTTTATTTATAGTAATAAGAGAGAGAAGAAATCCTTCATCCCCAAGGAATACAAGTCCATATAGGAAAGAATAACTAGAATCAATTCTAAGCTAGGATTTACACAATCACACTTAAACTAGAAGTTTACAACACTCTCCCTTGAGTGTGTAAATACTCAAGAAGATTCGGCATCATGTAGAGGTTTGAGGAAGTCGACTCGTCGGCACTGATTATGGGAACACGCTATTCTCAACAAGGTAGGAACTTGCATAAGGAAGTAAGTCTCAAAAAAAAACCCTATGCCTATGGTAAAAACCCAAGTAAGGATAAAATCCATAATTTAAGGAAAATGCGTGAGTAATGCAAAGTCAAATGAAACATCTACAGGACGTCATCAGGGATATGATCAACCCAAGGTGGGTGCCTCGTTAAAACCTAGTTAGGTAGCAAAAACCTAGTGGGAAAAATGCTCTTAATCTTAAGAATTAGAGTACATTAAGATCAAGCGAGTATACTTCAAGATACTACCCCTGAGTTTGACACAATTCCAAAGAGAATTAGCAATGTTACAACTCAGAAAGTTTACGCATACAAATTTAGCTTCTAAAACGTCGTCTTCGGTAGTGATTTGGTGAAGAGGTCGGCCAGATTGTCTTGTGAACGGATTTGCGTGACTTTAATCTTCTGATGCTCTTGTTGTTGATGTGAGAAGAAGAACTTTGGTGCAATGTGCTTGGTGTTGTCTCCATTGATGTAACCCTTCTTGAGATGTTCAATGCATGTTGCATTGTCCTCATAGATCGTTATCGGGACATCAACAACGAGGTAAAGATCGTAGGAGCATCAAATATGGCCCACAACTGCTCTCAACCAAAAGCATTCTAGAGTTGGTTCATATAAGGTGAGAATTTCAGGATGGTTAGACGAAGTGGCAAATAAGGTCTCTTTATTTGACCTCTAAGAGATTGCGGTGCCTCCAACGGTAAAGCCATAACCCGTTTGAGAGGTCACCTTGTGTAGATCAAATAAGTATCCTGCGTCGGCATAACCAACAAGGAAGGAATCAACTCGAGATAATGATGATGTGGCATCACTCGAGGATCCATATGGATAAAACAAGCCAAAAGATTGGTGCATTACTATATCTTGCCAAATGATGATGTGCCCTTAAGGTAGCGGAAAATGTCTTTAACACCAGTCCAGTGTCCACATGTTGGTGCATTAATATATCTTGCCAAAAGATTGACAGTGAAGGAGATGTTAAGTCTAGTGCATTGAGCTAAGTACAATAAAGCGCCTATCACACTTAGATAAGGAACTTCAGGCTCCAAAATCTCTTCATCATCCTCATTCGGACGAAATGGATCTTGTTTTGCATTAAGCGATCGAATAACCATATGAATACTCGAAGGCTTCGCTTTATCCTCGTTAAAGCGGCATAACACCTTATGGGTGTAGTTCGTTTGATGTACTAAGATTCCATCTGAATGGTGCTCTATCTTGAGACCAACACAGTATTGAGTCTTTCCTAGATCTTTCATCTCAAATTCCGACTTCAGGTGCGTGACAGTTCTCGCAAGCTCTTCAGGAGTTCCGATGAGATTCATGTCATCGATATATACTGAAACTATCGTAAAACCGGAATGTGACTTATTAATAAACGCACACGGGCATAGTTCATTGTTCACATATCCCTGACTAGTCAAATACTTACTCAGACGGTTATATCACATTTTTCCTGATTGCTTCAAACTGTAGAGTGAACGCCAAAGCTGAATTGATAGTGTGTTTTGGGGTTTAGAAATATTTGATCTAGTCAATGTAAGTCATTTGGGAACTTTTAAATAAATTTTCGTATCAAGATCCCCAGAGAGATACGCAGTTACTACGTCCATCAGCTGCATACTCAGATTTTCGTAAACTACCAAACTGATAAGGTAGTGAAAAGTAATCACATCCATAACGGGTGAATAAGTTCTGTCATAGTCAATCACAATGTGTTATGAGAAGCCTTGTGCAACAAGACGAGCTTTGTAAAGCACACTTTCGTTCTTCTCATTACGCTTCCGAACGAAAACCCACTTGTAGCCAACGGACTTCACATGTGGAGGAGCAAAAGCTATAGGTCCAAACACCTTACGTTTCGCAAGTGATTCGAGTTTGACTTGGATTGCTTGTTTCCAATTTGACCAATCGGTTCTACATCGACATGATCTCAGTAGCTATTGCATATGCTAATACATCATCGATGATTATCTCATTTTTTACACCAAACATCATTTAAGCTAGCATAATAGACCGAAATCTCACGATTCTCATGAGGTGGATTTGTCTCTTCAAGGACGCTTTCGTAATCTAGAATTTCCTCATGAGTTGGATAGAATAAGTAAGCGACAGTCAAATTCACAGTAGGCTCTTCAGGTGCCTGTATTGTGGGTTTCCTCTTCCGGGGGTGTGAATCCTTTGAACCAAGTGGTCTACCACACTTTTGTATAAGGGCCAATGATTGGCTAGCTGTTAATGTACATGGATCAGCCAAAGTGGTGTCCCGAGCCTCCATGAGGGAAATCTATCGTATATTTGGTACATCCATCTTTGCAAGTACATTTGCAGCTGTAATATGTGATCTTGTCACTCACACTAAATCGATGAAAGCATTTGGCATGCTCTGAGCTATGCTTTGAATATCTAAATAAGACAAAGTAGGAGTCATCTACGATAATTTGTGTCGTTCATCACAAATGTTGACGTTCTTATCTCCCCTTCATGACAGGAAGACTATCTCATAGAAGTGACAATCCGTGAAAATAGCGGTAAACAGATCGCCTGTCAAAGGTTTTAAGTAACGAATAATCGAAGGAGAATCATATCCGACATAGATTCCCATCATTCGCTGAGGCCCCATTTTTGTACTTAAGGGCGGCGAAATCGACACATAGACCTCACAACAAAAAACGCGCAGATGCGATATGTCGAGTTCATATCCGATAACCAACTGAATGGCACTATATGGTTAGGTTGCAATAGGTCTCAGGCGAACCAACATGGCTGTGTGCAATATTGCATGGCCCCAAGCAGCGATCGAGAGCTTGGTACATATGACCAACGATCGAGCAATCATTTGTAAGCGCTTAATGAATGCCTCTGCCAAGTCATTCTGGGTGTGAACATAGGGTACATGATGTTCAACTTCAACCCCAACAGACATGCAATGGTTATCAAAAGTTTTAGATGTGAATTCTCCAGCATTCTCTAATCGAATATATTTGATCAGATAATCAAGATGGTGAGCCCTGAGCTTGATAACCAAAGCCAACAGTTTAGAGAATGCAGCATTCCTTATGGACAACAAGCACACGTGTTACCAACGTGTGGAAACGTCAACCAAAACCATAAAATATCTAAATGGTTTGTAGGGAGGGTGAATTGGTCCACAAATGCCCCCCTGAATCCTCTGTAGAAAAATAGGAGGATTCGAACAAATCATGTCATAAGAAGGCTTAATAATAAGCTTTCCTATATAACAGGTTTGACATGTGATTCC